AAAAAAAAATTAATAAATACGATAAAATAAAATAAAAGAAAGAGAAAGAACGGAAAAAGAGAGAGGGAGGGCCGCGAACAGCGCGGCATCAACGCGCGCGTCAAAAAAACGCCACGAAATAATGTGTAGCTCTGTGGATTCGCATTCCAGATACTTGAAGGAATTTCGCGTCGAACAATGTCCCCTCTTTATACAGCGCAAATGCACACAACACCGACCCTTCACGTGCTTCAACTGGCACTTTATGAACCAGCGGAGGCGCAGACCGGTGAGAAAGAGGGACCGCACCTTCAACTATAGCGCCGATAATTATTGCACCAAGTATGACGAGACTACCGGCATATGCCCAGATGGAGACGAGTGAGTATACATCTGTTTTAAACGTCGCGACCGATTTCTCTTTCCGACGGGTATCCTACCATCGACGGAGGAGTATCTCCTCGATACGCTATATACTTATCCTGTCAGATGCATTGATTTCTCGTGTCGCCAGTCGCCCATTACAATGTTAAGGTCTTCCTATTTTGTCGCGTCTGTTCCCCCCTAAACCTCGTTAGCCTCTTATTCGGAAGATTGCTCGGCCGATCTCCGCGCGTCCGTTTATTCAATGTTTCTCTCGCCTTCGACCACTGGCTGCGCGTACCCGTTGTTAATACGTGTACGCCCGGCCGTTTCCTATGCTCGTCGAGCGTGAACGCGTATTTTCGCGTGTACAAGAATCGCGCGTAAACGTGTCTCTCTCTCTTATCCGCGTTGAATGGAGCCGTCGCTTCTCGAATGGGTAATCGATGCCGCGTTCAGGGAAAAACAGCCGGTTCTCGATCCTGGTGAGTTTCTTTGTGTCGTTGACACGCGTATGCTGTAACATGTAATATGCATCTGCGTGGTAACGCGTAACGACGTAACGTCTCGACGAGAATAACCTATGTAACGAAGAGGAGGCCAATTTCGACGTAACTTTCGAGGACACGCGCGCGCACGCGTGCCTGTTTCTCTCTCTGCTCGGAACTGTGCGCGCGCGCATCCACACGTACATGACGTTCGCGCGCGCATCAACACGTTCACGACGTTCGCGCGCGCGCCAACGCACCACGGGTCTCTCTCTTTCTCTGTCTCTCTCCCTCTCTTTCTCTCTGTGTATGAGAGAACGTGTATGCCGAGAGGCCCGATCTCGTCGAAAAACATTGCCGCTGCTGCACTACCCGCATGTCGGTTTTGTATACGAGAAAGTAGAATGGCAGCAGTAGCGCCTACATATTTACGTGCATTTCATACGGGAACTTTCATAATCGTTATTTTATTCCCGAAGAACGCTTTGCCTGCTTCGTTGAGTAATCCATGGCGCACCGCGGAAACGATGGGAATTTAATATATTGTATCTATAGAGACGCAACATGTACGCACGTTAGACCCCGTGGCTAGTGAAACATGTACTTTACAAGTAGGCATGTGAGAATGCCCGTAAAAAGAAAATCGCGAAGATAATGAGACTTTTATTCTTGGAAATGTGTTACGGTCGAATTACGGGAGGTGTAAACGCACGAAACGTTTTCGTTTCGTATCATTAGAAAATTCCGATACAGGTTATTGCATAATTCCACGTAATCTCTCGGTTTGACCGTAGCCACGGTTCACGAATAAATCCAGCTGTAAGAGATGACTGACATCTACCTTTCGGTTCTTTCTTCCTCTTTTCGCCCTTGCGCACG